CACCAACACAGAAGATCCTGTTTTCTGCCAAATCTACTGCTAATGTTCCTTGTCTGACACTAAACTTTTAAATACTGCCTTTTCACTATCTGGGAGGCCTTCCTATTTGTGGAGTGGTTACAATACATGGTGTTTGTTCAAGATCTGTTCTTGGACCACAACTGCCATGCCACTTTATAGAACCCATGCTGAACTGAGATGTCGACCACTTGCAGTCCATAAATCTATGATACTATAAATTTTATACTTTTGTACTTCTGCAACTCATCATAATCATAAGCCTCTCAGCACATCACATAAATTGGAAATGGAACATTGTTAATAGCCTTCGTAAGACTTGGCTTCTGTAACTGACTTCAGTAATTCTATCTCATTTGAAAGAAATCAAAGTATCAAGGTTTTCCCTTCTGTGCTTGAAATAGATTGAGCAAATGGGTGTGGGTAGCTTTATCTTTGGGCCTAGCTTCAACAGTCCTGGCTATAATAAAGAGACTTAAAAAAAATCTTGATAGGCAGACAATATGTTCCATATCTTACTGAAGAAAGTTTTCTGTGTGACCATTCCCGAGTTGGGCTGTTGGGCTACATGGAAAGTGAAGAAGGATGATGTTAGCGTTGGAAAACTGGCAAGGTGTTTCTTGATGAAGATTCACATTTTAACCATGAGTCTACTTTTCTATTTGGTTCTAATGCTCAAATACAGAAATATTTAATCCCCCCCCCATTTTCACAGAATACGGAATTTTGAGGTAGGCTTTTAGTGGAAGCACATAAGTTACTGAAATTTACAAAAAATTGAGATTTTTCTCACTTAATGAAAGTCATTTGTTCATAAATGTTTAAAACATTCGCAGTCCTTGACCCCTGACCCTTGCCCAAGTATGGAAGCCTGAGTAGGAAAATCTTTATGGTTACTGTCCTACTTCCCAAGCCAGCAAGTCAAGGGGCAGGAAGTGTTTCTCACGGGAAGCAGACACTGCTCCAGTGGGGTAGGGAGTGTGGGCTGCATGGGGTGAACTTGGATCCTTAATGAGGGCCACAGATCAAAACTCAGAGGCTAGGACTTGGTTGGGAGATCTTGCATACTCCTTCGGCCTAGGTCAGAGTTTATCAGCTCAGCCCTATCAATGCATTTGACCAGATAATTCTCTGTTGTGCAGGATGTCCTGTAAATCATGGGATGTTCAGTAGTATCTCTGACTTTTTACCCACCAGATGCCAGTAGTAACTCCCAGTCCCAGTCTAAAAAATCGAAAATCTCTCAGACATCACCAAATGTCGTCTGGGGACCAAAATTGCCCCCTAATTGAGGATCACTGATATAAGTGTGTGCATGCATGTGGATATTTCTCTCTCTCTCTCTCTCTCTCTCTCTCTCTCTCTCTCTCTCACACACACACACTCTCTCTCTCTCTCTCTCTCTCTCTCTCTCTCTCTCTCACACACACACACACACACAAAAAAAAAAAAACAACTGATATGTTTTAGTCTCTTCAGAGATTAATTACAGTGATAGAAGGATTTTAAGCTGATCTTTTTTTAAATTTAATTTTGTTCTTTGCATCAAGTTGGTATTTATATAAAACATTTCTTGCCTAATCTCTTAAAGTATCACCAATTCTATTTGAGGCCACTGTAATGTAAAAATGAGAAAATTTGTACAACTAATGGCCAATTACTTCGAAGATAAAAATAAAAATGTCCCAATCAGAACCTTTCTTCCACTAAAGTTTGGTCAGTAAAAATATTTCATGCCGAAAAATGTGTGTTGTCATTATGAAAATTAGTCTTCAAAATTCCATTTTGTTATGGAACGATATACTCCTAAATTACATTAGCCCTTTCTATTTTAGGCCTGACTCAATTCATTGGCATGCAACTGAATATGTTTTCTTTTTCTTTTTTTTCCCCCTGGTACAGCTATTGAACCCAGGGGCACTTTACCACTAAGTCACATCCCCAGACCTTTGTATTTTTTTATTTTGAGACAGGGTCTCACTAGGTTTCTTAGGGCCTCACTAAGTTGCTGAGGCTGGCTTTGAACTTGCAATCTTCCTGCCTCAGCCTCCAGAGCCGCTGGGATTATAGGTGTGCACCACTGCACCTGGCCTAAATAGGTTTTCTAAGCCCTTATTTCCCCTATTCTGTTTTCTTTTTGCAAATTTGTTTATTAGACTCTACTTATCCCAATAATTCAGAGAAATCCACTCCTAATTCTGGACTAAGAGCCTGTGCATCAGGTTGAGCCAAAGGAAACAAAAATGCTTCAGAGAAAAAGAGTGCACTATTAAGATAAAAATATGCTATTCTTCTTGCTTGCAGTTTCTTTTAAAAAATTAAAGCCCTAAGTAAGTGGCTTACTTTAGGGTTCATTCTGGGACACTGGCTCCTGCTCCACTCATTCAGACTGCATAATTCCAATCTGCAGGTGTGTGGCTTTGGGTAGATTCACCATCTCCACCTGAGTTCAGGCATGTGCCCCTGTGGTTTCATAGCCTATTACAACGTGCCTGGCACTCACCTATTCAGTCTACTTAAATATTACTGCTCCTCCACCTCCCACCAGAATCGTCAAAAAATAAACAATTATATAAAATAAGGTAACATTTATTTAACCTTATTGGATCTCTAAGTTTATAGAAATAATACACAGCAACAAATAAATTAATCCCTGGATTTCTGAAGAAATTCAAAGTAAGAAATTCAAGAGTCAAATTTAAATTTTACAGAATTCAGCCTAATATTATATGTTACCATCTTTAGAGCTCAGTGAAAATTTTAGAGGATGGTCAAATGGCAGAAATTAGGCCATGAAGTGGCCTATTAATAATCCTCAGAGAATATGCACTTTTTGTGCTTAATATGTACACAGTTGTGGTGGGTACAAAGCTGGAATGAAGGAAGTGACTGGTCCAGGAAGATGAGGGTGGGGGGCTTCCTGCCATGGACCGGGAGCATTTGAGACCAAGACGCTATTGAGAGCTGTAGGTCATGGTGTGTGTGTTGGGGTGAATGTGACCATGCAGACTCAACCCGCCCTGCACAAGGCAGTGAGGAAAATAACACTCTGGAGAGGCAGGATAAAAGGAGTTAAAATGGGCATAACCTCTGCAAAAATAGTAATAATCATGACTACGTGATCATGTCAAAACTGTAGTCTAAAATGCATAATTTCTACTTCATTTCCACAATTACTTTTGACTTTCCAATAAAGTTAATCTGTTTTCTTGTAAATATCAATCGGTTTTTTATAGTACATATTTCCTCTTGGACATTCAGCTTTCATCTTTTTATATTTCTGCTTCTTTCTTACATCCTCCATTTAAATGTTTTCTTCTTTTTCATTTTTTGGTACATGTTAAAATCTTTTTGTGAAAAGTTGCACCAAAGTTGAGAAAGTGAAACAGGAAGGAAATTTGAAAACTTCCCACACTATTAACACTTTGGTATCTATCTTCCCAGAATTTCTTCTTTCTTTTCCTTTTGGTACTGGGAAGTAAGATAATAGCCAGGGGCACTTTGCCACCATGCTATATCCTTGGTCCTTAAAAAAAAAATCTATTTAGAGTAAGGATCTTGCTTAGGTTGGACTCGCACTTGTGACCCTCCTGCCTCAGTCTACCAAGTAGTTGAGATTATAGGTGTGTGCCACCAGGCACACCTATCTTCCCAGAATTTTCATATGCAAAGATACATGCACATATCCCAGATAAAATATTTTAAGCAAAATGGGATTATGCTAACCATGGTGGGCAGTTTTTTTCCAGTTAATTTCTCATGAAAATTTCCATTTCAACTTATATATGCATATATGAATCTTTTTTTAAAAATTTTCTTCATGATCTATGATGGACATTAATGCTGTTTTAAAATTAGGAACAATGTTTCAAAGTCATTTCCAAACAAATTAGTTTGCACAATTATTGAATTGGTTGATAAACTGAACTGCTGGGCCACAGGGTCTGCACATAACCATGACACTGAACACACATCACCACGGGCCCCAGGGAGGCTAAGCACAGCTGGCCCTGTGAGTCCCCAGGACAGCCTCCTCCTCCCCAGGCCCCTTCCTGCCCATTTCTCCTGGTCTGGGAGCTCACTGACGAGGTCTGGCTGCCTCTTCTCATTGATGATTCTTGGTTCACAGTGAAATCGATCCATGTTATCACATATTTTATTACTCTTTTGCATTTTATTGATCTTAAATGAATGTTCTATTAATTTGTTCAGCTTTCTTTTTTTCTAATAGGCAGGGTTTGCTTGTTTGTTTGTGCTTTTTTCAACAATGAAATAATTTTATTTTAAAGATATTTAATCTCTCGTCATGTATGCTGCAAATACTTTACTAAATTGTCGTTTGCCTTTTAACTGTTTACTGTCATCTGTCCCATATAATAGCTTTAAGTTGGTGATACTGGGGACTGAACCCAGAATTGTTCTACAAGTAGAGCCATACCCCAACCCTTTTAAATTTTTTTTTAAAAAAATTTGAGGCTGGCCTTGAACTTACAATTCTCTTGCCTCAACCTACTTCTGAGTCACGAAGAATATAGGCCTGTGCTACCAAACCTGGCCTCAAAGCTTTAAATTTGTATGCAATTCAAATTTTCATATTTTCTTTTACTATTTTCCAACTAATTCATTTTTACTTTAATGATATTTTTTTTCTTTATTTCAAGACAGTTTTAGTTGCTCTTTTTCCAATCTCCCAATTAATTTACTTCCATTAAAAATAATAATTCCTGGGGCTGGTGTAGTGGCTTGGCGGTAGAGCGCTCACCTCGCATGGGCAGGGCCCCGGGTTTAATTAAAGATATTAAAAAAAATAATTCCAGGGTTGGGTTGTAGCTCAGTGGTAGACCACTTGCCTAGCATGTGTGAGGCACTGGGTTCAATTCTCAGCACTATATAAATGAATTAAAAAATATATAAAGATCCATCAACAACTAAAAAAATATCTAAAAGTAATTGCAACTAAAATGTTCAATTTTTCCTTTTAGCATAGTGTTGCAGTGGTCTGGAACTGAACCTGCATCGTCTCTGAGGTAGGTCTTTAATCTCTAGTTTCCTCTAGTTTATGAGCTATTCAGTATTTTACATTGTTCCAGTAGTCCCCCCCTTATCCACAGGGAGTATGTTCTAGGAATCCCAGTGGATACCAGAAGCAGTCGACAGTATCAAACCCTATATAGATATTTCTCCTATACATACAGACATACCTATGATAATGTTTAAGTTATAAATTAGGCACAGTAAGAGATCAACACTAACAATAAAGTAAGAAAATTATATCAAAAAACAGAGTGCAAGTTATGTGAGTGAGGTCTTTCTCTGAGTGTCTCATTGGATCGTCACCTTTCCCCTTAAAGGGAGCACTTTGACCTTTCTTTGGTATATTTGAATTCCCAGTACCACTACTCTTACACTTTGGGGCCATTACTAAGTAAAATAAGGGTTACTTGAACAGAAGCATTGCCATATCCCACCAGTTGGTATGATAAATGAGATGGTCACTATGTGACTAATGGGCAGGTGGGGTGTACCATGTGGATACACTGCAAAAAGGGATGATTCGTGTTCCAGATAGAACGGAGAATGAGTGAAGGAGATTTCATCATGCTACACAAAACAGCATGTAATTCAGAAGCTATGAAATATTTCTGGAATTTTCCATTTTATATTTTTGGACTGCGGTTGACTGAAGGTGGTTGAACCTGTTGATAAAGGGCCATGATTTTGTAACAAGAATCAAATTTATTTTTTACACCAGTCACATCCTTTTTGTTGTCTCCCCCCCCCCCCGCCCCTGATCATCTGAAGATTGTGAGAAGGATTTTAAGCTATCACTATTGCTGTGATCCCATTTGATTTCACTGTACACTGTTTTAATCACATTTAGATAAATAAGTTCCTACTTTTTGATAAAAAATATTCTCTAAGGGCCTAAGTTTCAAAATAAAGCTTATCAAAATGTAACTTCTAAAATGATATGTAATGATAACGCATTTTCAAAACAGGTATAAAGAACTGCTTTTTCTTTTGGAAGCAGTATTAGAGCAATTCCATTTAAAAAGATCATGAAGCATACAAAAAGAGATTTCTGCAATCCTGTGAAAGACAATATGTCAAGACAGCTACACTGTGTCCAGTCTCAGTTCTCAATAATGAGAGAGAAGTCACTTCATGTTGGACACACAGAGAAAATAAAAATACAGAACAAGCCCTACCTGTCCTTCAGAAGCCTCTGTACCACCCACCCCCTCCAGCCTCCCTATAGAGCCTATCTGGAAGGTCAGTAAATTTGGGAACATAACACAGATTCCAGCTCATTTCTCACAGCTTTCTCTCCCCCCCTCCCCCCCCCCAACTGTCCTTTCATCCGACTGGTTGTGATTAAAAGTCAGGGGTTCGACATCCAGCACTCGCTGTGTTCTTTTAATGTTGGTTTGCCAAAGAGAACCAAAGATTTTCTGGTATTTCAGTGACTGAAAGAGACAATTCAGCCTTAAATTCACAAGCCACTAAAACAACACCTGGAGGTAGGTGAGGCTCCACCCGCTCAACCTTCATGAAGTCAGTCACCCAGATGGGGGCTCCCCTCAGGTCCCAGGGAAACACATTCTCTAGGAAAATCAGGGAAAGCCGATACAGGATTTCTAAAAAATCCACCTAATTGACCTGACCATACCTAAACCACCTGGAGCGCTCCAATGTTGAGTCACACTTTTAAACACTAGAGAGGAAGTACTCTATCACCCTGTCTCTGCCCTTTCAAAAACCAAGGTCGGAAAGTGCCTACCAGGCAGACGTTTTTTTCCGAGGGGGGGGATGGGCATTGAGGGGCATCCCCCCTCTCTCTCCTGACCCAGGACGGTAACGTAGGGCTTGGCGTAACAAGGCCCCACAAGCACGGATTTAACGTCTGTGCTCCCCGAGATACACCTCGGGCCATTTGATTTGGCAAACTCTGCCTGGGCAATGACTGACAGAATCCAGAGGGTGACCAGTAAATGTTCCAGGTGAAGACCACCTCTACTTCCCCACCAGTGGAGGCTGACCAGGCTCAGTGGCTGCGCTGAATCTGCTGAGAAATCCCCAAAGTAGTTTTAAATGGCGTCAGAACAGAGGTGCAAACCCATTTTCCTTCCCTTCTACAGTATCAAGACCCTCTAACATTGTAAAATTACTGCATTTAACCTGACTAGACCCTAATACAGACATAGTCATTTTCCAATTCTGTTTTAGCTCATTTCTGTTCTATTTGTTCTGTTCAAATGATCCTGTTCAAATGATCCTTCTCTTGAGGCAGTCTAGTCGATCTTATACTTTTATTGAGGAAAATATGAGAATCCTCTAGTTTAAAAAGACAGAAGTTAAGGAAAATGATTGTAAATCTCTCTTTCAAAGATCAAAAAAGAATAAAGGAAGAGATGAAATGTAGCTTTTTCTACAATTTAAACTTTTTGAAGCATTAATTTTTGAATAGGATTCTTTTTAGTTTTCATTTGTGTTGTGATATCCACATCATTAAGAAATTTGACAGCTTTTGTTATAGAATCTGATTCTGGGCTGAGGACGCAGCTCAATGGTAGAGCGCCTGCCTAGTGTGTGCAAGGCCCTGGGTTTGATCTCCAACATGTCCAGAAAACAAATCAAAAAGAAGGAAGAATTTTATTCCTTGTGTTTTAAAGTTTTTCTCTATTTAAATCTGCCTAATCTAACATCAAAGATATTTAACCAACTATTTAATAAAGAAATAAAATTAAAAGTCTATTACACCTCTAGGAAGGCCCACCCAGACAGGCCATTAAATTCAAGAAGGGAATTAAAAGGCTTATCTCTAGAATAAAACACGGAGACCAGTTTTTACCTGAAGTTCTCAGGTCTGAAGGTAACATTCTGATTTACATTTGCATCCAAGAAATGAAAACCAAAACCACCTCTCTGTTACCGTATATATTTGTTACATTCCCCAAGCTGACTCAGGATGTCTAGATTCTGGTCTTCCTAGTGAAGATCTTGACTTTCATGGTCCAAGGAAACCAATCTGAGGAAGAGACAGACTCTACTCCAAGCAAGTTTGAATATCACCATGCCAACAGAGAAAAACATTTTCAAAAGGAAAAATAAGTAATAGGCCTGAAAGGAAAAATTTCTCTGAGCCACTGTGATTTCCTTACAAGAGGAAAACTCTCTCTCTCTTTTTTTTTTTTTTTTAAGGAGAAGAACAAAATGCACATGATAATTCAAGGAGGAATGTGAGTCTTGACCCTTTGTGTACCAAATGTTCACAAGGTAAATCTAAATGTCTATCTGTTGAGGAAATTCATTTTCTGTGGGTGCAGAGGATTGGCTCCAAAACCTCAGCATGACCTACGGGTGACTTACGTAGATCAGTGTGGCTCTCACTGAGTAAAAGAGGAGTAGGGTTATTCTACACACCTCAGAGTATACACGGGCATCACGTAATGTTGGTGCACTATGTTCGTGTACGTGGGAAGAAGAATCCATCCTGCTCACCTAAACACACGTTACGTGAGCAGACTGTACTTCCTTTGGAGACTGGTTAATATTATAATAATAAAATTCTATGCACTATATGAACAATTAAGCTTTTCGAGTCTGAGATGAGTCTCGCTTTACAGCTGGCTCACGTACGTGGCAGGCAGCGAGTCAGGTATGCTGTCTTGGGGACAACTCGGAACGCTCATTCCAGCGTGAGAGGGAAAAAGGAATCTCATTTTCTCCTTTTTGAAGAATCCAGATCTATACTCTGGAGACAGCACAGCTTGTATTCCAGTGTTTTCCATTTATGCTGAAACTCGAAGCTACAGGAAAATAGCATGCAGATGTGCTGTTTGTGACTTGGGGAGACTTTTTCATGCCAGAGTCTGTGGTGAGCACAACAATCATATTTTAAAGAATTAACCTTATATTTTCTCACAAACTATCACTTGTGCACAACATAAACAATTAAAAATTAGGCACAGGACGATAAATATCAGCAACTCCCAAGTATCCACTCTTCAATTAAAAATCAAAACTTTAACTGCTTGCATCTCTGACCCCTTTCCACCAGCCAGAGCCCAAGATCCCATCAACACACACACACACACCAGGTGTTCATGATGCAGATGGTGACTCTGGGGCCCAGGACCCCAGAGGGCCTGCTGCCGCTTCCTGGAAGCAGCCTCGGTGAGCCACAGGTTAGGACTTTTGAGTTCTGTTGCTCGTGGTGTTTAAACATTTGAAAATCAGTAAACTACGCTGAACTGAACATTTTATTACTCAGAACAACTCGATCGAGCAAAACACAATAAACAGGCGACTTCTGCCATGGCAACGTGTTTTCTCTGGGAATTTTGTAAATGCTCCTAAGTCAGCAGTGAATCACTAGAGAAAAAGTCAAATCCCAAATGCCTCCTGAACGGTCTGAGTCAGCACCTGCCCCAAACAGCAGCAGCTAGTTGCCGGATCTCTAATCTGAACAGGTTTCCGCTTAGTGCACTCAAAATTAGCCCAGAACACTTAAAAAAAAAAAAAAAGTGTCTGCAAACAAGAAATATAGCACATGAAATCCAGAGATTCAGTGTGAAGCAAATGACCAGTATTAGACATATTTACTATTCAAGAATTGAGATACACTATAAAAGAACTAAACTGAGTTTTTATAGTTTACCCAAAGGCTTTACCTAAAAGTTGTATTATTAGCTAGAAATATTATCTTTTCCCTTGTAGAAGAAATTTTAAATCATTTTCATAAGTTATCTGCTGTTTTTTTTTTTTTTTTTAAAGGCACCACGGTGGTATAAGTTCACCTTTTTACTCCTTCACAGATGCCTACTTGTGCTTTTCTGGTAATGTTTTAATTTTATTAAATGTTACTACCTGGGTAGTAAGCAGTTTTATCAAGATATAAATTTATAAAGTGACACATTTTTCAGTACCAACCATCTCTGACAATTTATTCCATAATAGCACATTCCATCAAATTAAACTGCAAAAGCGTTCCCACATTTGTTTTCCATTCTATACGTATGGCTCATGAATAGCAATGTTGATGGATTCCAGCTGGTTTAAATATGCAGGCCAACTCTTATAAAACAGATTCTTTTCAATTCTTATTGTATTTGCTGAGGCCCATTCTGAGTGGGCCACCTGGTAGGATGAAGCACTAATATGTCTCTGTAGAAAAAAATAGGAAAACAAATCACCCTGCTAAACTCAAGACCATCTCCCCCAACTTTATCACTGTTAGATTTCCAGTATAAGTGAGATCTCGTCTTTTGGAAAAGTTGGATTAAAATTTAAGCATATTAACAACCCTATGAACTACTGAAATGCTCATTCATCTATTGTAACGACAACGTAAAGATGATTTTCACCATTCATGGGTGTTGCCTGTTTTCATAAATCGATCATCCACGATTTGTCCCCTCCTCCCCATACCCCCACCCCTGCTCCATCCAGCTGGAACGCATCAAGGGCACAGGAGCCAAGTCAAACGTCGACCCCACCCTCCTCCCCTTTAAGGCACCTTCAAAGCTAAGCTCTGAGCTTGTTCCGTTGCACCAACAAAGCCAGCCATGCTGCTAGTGAAGACTCCAGTGTGGGGTTTTTATAACTGCACGCTAACATGAAGGTTTTGATTTTTGGTCAAAAACTTCAGCTGCACCGAGTTTCATCAGATTGTTGGACCCTCTCTGTGGAAGAGCCCTCATTATTAAACCTTTGCTGTCAGTGCCAGCTGCCTGCTTTATAATACCAACCTCTCCAAACAGCCCAGTAACCAACCCTGAGAACATCATATATTCCCCTCCCAAAAGGTCAAAACAGAACAGCCATTATGGTCGTCCAAACACACATTCCCCAACATCGGCACACTCCACATAGCCCATGCTCTGTAACCGACATCCCTACATGCACAGAAACACTCTTGTAAGACACATGCAGGAGCAGAGCGGGGGGCTGGGGAGACAGGAACTGCGACAGCACAAAGAACTTACTTTGTTGTTCCCCTGTGCACGTAGCCGCAAGGAAAAAAAAAAAAAGGAATATGTTAAACATAAATTTATTTTAAAATTATGAGGTTTTTCTTCTAAAGCAAAACAAATGATTTTTCTATTCCCTGACATCAGCATCCAGAGCTCATGGACAAGTCAAAGAATCCTTAGGTTAAGTGGAATCGTACATTTGTAACTGCAGAATGTTATGCTGGGGATTTTCCCCTTTCTTCCGGCTCGGAATTCTTGGGGTACGGGACCCCGGCCAGAGAGAGCCAGTTTGAATTGGTGAGGAGTGTGGCTGCTTGTGCAGCAAGTGTGAGGGCCCGGTGGAGGGCAGCTTGCCCTCTCCTGCAGCCCCTCCTCCACACACCAACCTGTGGAAAACGCCAGGCAGAACATTTTTAAACCAACACTGCATCCTTGGTTTCAAAAAACGTGGAATTAAAAATGATGGGAAAGATGCCGGGTGGGGTGGTGCAGGCCTGTAACCTCAGCAGTTTGGGAGGCTGAGGCAGGAGGATCACGAGTTCAAAGCCAGCCTCAGCAACAGCGAGGCCCTTAGCAACTCAGCGAGACCCTGTCTCTAAATAAAACACAAAATAGGGCTGGGGGTGTGGCTCGGTGGCCGAGTGCCCCTGAGTTCAATCCCTGGTACCACCCCCCCCCAAAAAAAAAAAAAAAAGAAAAGGGAAAGAGATCCGAGGAAGGTGCAGGCTCAGGCCGGTCAGGGGAGACAGCCGCACAAACCAAGCTGCGACCTCCTTGCACCCTTCCTTTATTTTGTCAAGTAGGAGCTCGGTCTTGGGTTGGCATGGGAAGTGAAGGCTGTCCAGGGGGCTGCTGCCAAGATCAACACTGGTCCACGGTCACGAAAATGGGTCTGGAAAGGTTAGTCCCCAAAATGCAGTCATTTCTAAAAAGCGACACAGAGAGGCGGGCAAATGGCTCTCCCGATTCAAACTGGAGCCGTGAGAGTATGATTTATATCTAACAATTTAACTCACATAGGGCTTAAAAAAATAAAATGGTGATTCATCACTCCCGGGGCAGCCCAGGTCCTCCCAAGGTCAGATCCTGGGAGGAGGACTGAGAGGCTGGGGGCTGCGAACAGATCTGAACTCGCCTTGCGGGGGCCCACCAGGAATTTCTCTCAGGGATGCGGGTTGCAGAGAGCCAGAGCAAAGCGTGTGCCTCTGTGGGAGGGACTGAGCACAGCACCCAGGAGCCAGGCCTGAGGTCTGGCCTTGAGCTTCCACGGGGATGTGCAGGGGAAGGATCCACTGAGGATGTTCTGGGAGAGGAGCTAGGGGAGAGTTCTCTGGAAGACAACACCAACTGGCGACGGGGGATGTGCCTCTTCTCTCTTCCAGGGGCCAGTCATATTCAATAGAGAAAGCCAGAGAAGCTGACAAAGCAACGTGGAGAAAGGCTTCTGGACACAGAGCTGCTCCAATACGACTGTTAACACCCCAGCTTATCTGAGACCGAAATAATGCCCGAGAGGGAATGGAGGAGGGGAAAAAAAGGGTCCTTCCTAAAGACGATGCAGTAAAGATCCCCACTGGGAATTTTATCATGAGTAAAAGTCTATTTTAGAGAATAACGGGACCCTGGTTCTCCCAAGAAGTGCAATATTGCTGGAAATACCTCAAACAGATGGAGTTTATTGCATTCCACAGCAGTGCAGCTTTTGATCTACCAAATAAGTTTCAGGAGTTCAACCAAGTATTTTTGCACACGAGGGAATGGCTGGCTTCCCCGCTCCATGGCAGATGGTTCTGTTTGTAGTGGCAACAGTGATGTCACAGAGGAGGAGGCCTTAATCCCCAAATACAAGAAACGCACAGCCGGGACGTGGTGTGGCTTGGCCATTCCTTGTTTCATTCAGTGCTTTCCCAACCGTCTATTCTGCAAGAGGCGCCGACAGTGGTGAATGGGGACTTGGGAAGGCTTCAGGACTGCCTCCCCTCCTCTGGGTGACAGCGATTTCTGTCTGGCACCCTGAAGGCGCTTCCATTGAGGGATGGAGGACTCCTCGGAGCTGGCCTTGGAGCTGCTCTGAGCTCTGTGTGAGGACTGCTGAGAAAGCTGAGGACAAGCCTTGCCGGGGCTGAGCGATGGGACTTCAGGTCTCATGTTGGGCTCAGGACGAGCCTGTGTGAGTGGTCTCGTCAGGAATACCGGGAGCCCATGACATTCCTCTTCTGGAACGACGGAGTCCCATTTCCCTATTATCGCACGCAGAGGAAGGTACCAGAGGCTCAAGTGAATGGTTTCAACCCCCACACAAAGCATCATAAAAGCCTCCGTTACGGCTGGAGAGTCCGAGCTTCAGAGGGAAAGTCAAGCTCCACAGCGTCTCACTTTGTACTGTCACGGATTTTTTTTTTTTTTTTTTTTTGTGGTGCTGGGGTTTGAACCCAGGGCTTCACGCGTGCTAGCCAGTCCTCTACCCCTAAGCTATGTCTCCAGCCACACTGCCATTTAAATCTCTTGTTACATAATTGAGATTAAAAAGTCCCTCTCTATATATACCTCTTCCCAAGCTCTCAAGTGTCTCACTAACAAACATGCAAGGGGCTGGGGATGTGGCTCAAGTGGTAGCGCGCTCGCCTGGCATGCGTGCGGCCCGGGTTCGATCCTCAGCACCACATACCAACAAAGATGCTGTGTCCGCCGAGAACTAAAAAATAAATATTAAAAAAATTCTCTCTCTCTCTTTCTCTCTCTCTCTCTAAAAAGAAAAAAAAAACAACAACAACATGCAAAATTGAATTGAGGCTGGGTGAGGCGCACGCCTATAATCCCAGCCGGGAGGTGGGGGCAGGCGTATCACAAGTTCAAAGCCAGCCTTGGCAATTTAGTGAGGCACTAAGCAACTCAGTGAGTCCCTGTCTCTAAATAAAATACAAAACAGGGCTGGGGACGTGGCTCTGTAGTTCAATCCCCGGTACCCCCCGCCCCACACACCCCAAAATGAATTGATACCAGTTCGTTTCCAGGGCACGTGTGGACCTCAGGCTCCTTCTTTCAGACGGCCTGACAGCCCCTTGACTCACTTCAGCTGACCAACGCAGCCTGCAAGACTGTCCTGTCCCCTCAGACAGCATAGGGCTCCCTTAAACAACCCGACTTCCTCAGTCATCAGAGAAGAAAATTCTCACATGCCCAAATCCACTGACGGTTTCCAAAGAAAAGGTGCATACTAAACTGGGAATCAGAGCTACGGACACGCTAGTGACTCTGAATAATAATAATAAAGGCTTTGAACTTGCACTCAGTTGAAGGCACTGAGCAGTTGTGATGCACAGGGACCTTTGGTTAATCCTATAAAATCACCCTGAGGAAGGACTGTGAGTTTAGAGAATAAATAACTGGAAGATCAAATAAAATGCCTGCACCACATGGCTAAAAGATAGCAAGGTCAGGATTTAAAATGTGAGTGGATCTGACTTGAAGTCTATCTCATTCCACTGCACACAGTGCTTCAAAGAATCTGAATTTGGAATTCCTTAATGTTTATGTACAAGTCACATTGTAAACCGTACTGTGTCAAAAAAGCTAGCTGTTACATCACGTTCTTTAGATAATTAATCAAATTTGTATTTGTTTGTAATTTTATTTACAGGAACAATCTATGTATGTGTCAGTAAAATAATCTTTTAAAAATTCTTCAGTAGTAACCTTTAATTACCAACATACACCCATGTTCCCAGAATAAGTCAGGACTTAGAAGTGTCTGTTATAGGTTAATTTCTTCAAATCTTTCCAAATCAGGAACAAAAAACGATCTTTCTCCCAAATGTGAGAGTGCTTACAAAATGGAAGCTGTAGGAAAGCATTCTATTTGATTGATTTTAACAGTTAGCTGCCATTAAATATCTGCAAACCAATCAAGCCTTTAATATGTCCCATAAGCCTACACTGTGCATAAAAATGCAAATATTATGTATGATGAAAACTGAGCAATGCAATGTTCATGGCACACTGCCAAGTTTAATTTCCTGTCTTGTCTTTGGTATGCAGTGAAAACTTCTAGACTCCTTCTTCCAGGCAATTGTACCAAATGTGTGTTTATAAACAAATGAAAATGTGAAAAGAACCAAAACAGATTGTGGAGGACATCACTAGATTTGCTTAAAAGTGAGTATTCTGATTAAAAATATAAAACATTTCTTAGATTATCTTTTTGGTGTATGAAAATCCAGATTCATGAAAACTGGGGCTGGAAAAATTTGCTTTTCCATGATAGTTTTTCTTGCAGGGAAACACACACACACACACACACACACTACAAAATTTCTTAAGCACAAAAACTACATTAAAAAATTTCTTACATGGCCAATTGTTCTAGTGCACTTAAAACAGATTTTTAGTTAACAAAACTGTGATTTGAAATATTTTTACACAACTATAGCTGCATGTAAGGAAGATACACATTTGCCCCCAACACTGATATCCTACACACCTCAAGCATATTTGGAAGATAGAAGATAGCACGAAGGATTCTCAATCCCGCTGGGCTTCATTATAGTTATTTCTAGCTGTTAAAGAAAGTGCTTGAGCTGAGTCATGATCATTATCATTACACATGGAAACAGGGTCCTCACTGGGTTGCTCTGCTGGGTCCTTCCGCACCTTATCTCACTGGACCCCATCAATCACCCTCTCGGGGCAGCATGGTCTTATTTAAGCAATGAGAATTGCAAAATGTAAATGGCTAGGGCACCTGCCCAAGGTCACAGCTTGGAAGCGAGCTCCTGGGATTTGACACTAGAGCCTGTGCTTGGACCCAGAGGTGCTGCTGCTGCTTCTAATCAGACCCAGCCATGAGGTCTTTCAAGAATGTAAATCTCATCATGGCAACTAGCTGGAGACACCCTTCCCTGGCTTCCCTCTCCCTCACAGTAAAATACAAAATGCTCACATGTCCTTTAAGGCCAACATCATCTTGCCCTGACACCATCTTGGAGACCACCTGCCAGTCTGTCCTGCCTCACGGTGTTCCAGACACACAGACCTTCTTGGGGCTGCTCTGAGACGCTGTGCTGTGCGTGGTTTGCACTTGCTCTGCCTCTGCCCCAAATCCCCTTCTTCAGACAGTCGCAGCATTTAATCTCTCCTTTCCTTGAGAAGTCCATGCCAAGGCCTGCTCTTCAAAGGGGTTCCTCTGGCCACCTGCCCCTGCAAAAAGCTCACCTGTCCCTTGAACTTATTTAGGTGGGACTTTCCGTCATCCCGATGCTTCGTGATCCCTGTTACACATGCGCTTGCCCAGTGTCTGCTCCGTGAAGCAGGACCTTATCGCTCACCTGTCTCACTAATGCCTACGATGCTAAAAAGCATGTGCCCAGAAGTGTTTTTTTTTTTTGTGGAATGGATGAATAAAAAATTAAGTAATACATGTATTTTTAATATAGAATGTTTGTGAAAGTAAACACACCACCATCAATGGATACAGAAGAGTAATAAGCAATTAGAACTGAAACTTAGGTGGAAGTGATTTCCTCCAATTTTTAAAATGATTTCTTCATAGTCTCTTGAGAGGCGTGCTTCTCTGCAGATCTGTATGCCCCCCCCCCCCCCGCAGGAGGAAGACTGGACAGCAATTATGAAAGCCAGAGATGCGTCGGTACCTTGGTGTCACCAAGGAAGCATCAGGTCCAAGTCCTACTGAGAGGGCTCAGGGCACTGTGTGGGACCACCCAGTGGTCACTGTTTTAGGTGCCACCCAGACACATGCATAGGATGGAAGGGGTGGAGGGGTCCACGTGTAAGCTAAAATAGGAGCAGGAAGAACATTTTGGTACAAATCCTCCACCCTTTACTCCTGGAACTCTGTTAATTTCCAGTGTAAGCCCAGGGATGTGGCTGGGCCTAAAGTCTCCCAGAAATGCTACAGTTTTCTCACATTGTACCCAAATCTCAGACTGAGCCTGGAAAAGCCTCTGTCCCTACTGTGAGCCTAGATCAGTCCTCGATCTGCACTGTCAAGGGACTGAGAGCCAAGGAAGCAGCACAAGGCTCAAGCTGGACCAGATCCTGGGGCTCTACTTTGGTGCTTCCACACTGGGGAGAAGCCAGGGTGGCGTCAAGACCCAGGAGCAGCAGGTGCAGAGACCCACAAGATGGGCGGGACGTCCAGAGCTTAAACTCAGACTTCAGACGCGCCTGTGTAATATTATGGTTTCTAAAGAACACAAGGAGAAGGTCTGTTTATTAACTTCAGTGAGAGAAGTGTCTCCAGGACACTTGAAGTGTATTAATAAAGATAAGTGGAAAGAGCCATACTGTTTTTTGTTCCTTCACACTCACAGTGACATTAGCCAGAGTTCAATACAGATACAACAAAGGGTACAAGTAATACTGACACAAGGAAAGAGAGACATTTATTTAAAAAAAATGAGTATTTTTTTTTTAGAATCTGAAATACTGGTGTTACTGCTGCTGATATGTTGCTCCTATTAATATTGTGGAATAACACAGAGAGATCATATAATACTGTGGGATAATGTAGAGGAAATCTCCATCTGAGAACATGTAGCTTATGTTTTGTGGCAAGGGAGGGCTTTTGCTTCAACAAATACACTGATCAGGTTCCTGATACAGAAACCTGATGGGGAAAAGCATCATAAGAAGCAATATAAAGAGAAGGAAGTATCAGCCACGAGTTTGCCAGATTAGCTAGATCAGTAAGAAAACTAGTTACTCTAGCACGTGGTACAAAGAAGTAGCACATTTTCTCCAACGCGGGTCATGATACCTGTCACCTAAGAGGTATAGCCAACTTACTAAGGACTTGTCCGGGTAGACGCCAGCTCTTAGGAGGGAGGCCTTCCAGCTGTCCACATCCTCTTGAGAGTCGCAGGCCAGCTCAAGGAAACGGTAGTCTTTGTACACGTTCCTGGAGGTAAAACGAAACCAAACCATACTCTTAGTTTTAAGCCCAATAAAAAAGGATTCTAGTCACCACAGACAATGATATAGATGACAGCCCAAGCAGAAGTTCCCAGGTAATCACTAGAGAAAAACCAAACAACCTATTGTATTTAAAAATAATTAGCAAATTCTGATATGTGTTTAACACATAATTATTTCTAAAAAAAAAACCCAAACAAACCCTCACAGTAAAGAGTTCATTTTATCTGTGCTACTGAGCAATTCAAGGGCAAAGGACGCCATACACTCCCTGTGATGATGCCCTGGGTGCCAGCCGACTGCAGGGCTCTGGGGAAGGCATTTGCAACTGTCCAGTGATAAGATCCGTTTCGAAGGCCATTTTACAAGTCCAATTGACTAAGCAGCTCATAAAGCTTTTAAATGCAGGGGAATGATCTTACAACCTCAAAGACTGTTTAGATTCGGAACAGAAACGCTCGTCAAATTGTGAAAAGGAAAGGTAACCAGAGTTTAACGGGGTGCGATGCCTATGATGTGTCATCTAAAACTGGGACAATACTATGGTTTTCCTAATAATGAAAGTGCAAACAGTGTAAGAAGCCCATGTTGAAAAATTGGAAAACAAATGAATATATAAAAGTGGCAGCTATCATCCAGGTGTGTGACACACAATCTAGTGGGTGACACCTTATGTTCATACATTCTTTCGTTCCACACGTTCATACAGTGGAAACTCCTTTTTCCGGCCCCTCCTTTTCTCTCTAGCTTTCTCATTAATGTTATGTCTGTTTTTTCACTCACTGTTATCATATGACCATTTACCATACCCTTAGATTTTTATAAACACTGTCATGCCAGAATGGCCATTAATAGAAATGGATGAACATTTGCTTACCCTCCTCCTGATATTAGATAATCAAATAATTTCCTTTTTGTTATTCCCATCATAAGTAATATTTAAACAAATATTATTCATGCATATTTGCCACATTAACTGTTGTTATTTTCTGAGGAAATACTACTAGAGAATGGCAAGATCAAACCTTGTGATCATTTTTAAGATGATGATATACAGTCCAATGACCTTTGGGAAAACACAGCCCGACTTAGGCACATGCTAGCAGCTACAAGATCATAGTCTGCTCTCCTTACTCATCCCCAGGTACTCTCATTGGTACCCAGCCACCTCAGCTTCCCACCCAGCCGCACACGCCCCTGTGCTGTGTCCATCTAGACCACCTGAGGCAGGCTGCCCACCGACTTCTCTGCTTCCCTGTCGGTGACCCTGGACACGAACCGCGAACTGGTGATTTCCAGCTGGTCTTCTTCCACTGTTCCCATGCCTTGTGGCAGTGGTGTGATCTGGGTACTTGGGGATATTTCTGACACTTTCCATTTGTCCCCAACCCTCTTCTGTTTGCCACTTAAGAGTGTCACGACCTTGTCATTGACTCTCTCTTGGACCATTACCATAGCCCCGCAGTGGTCCCCCAACATCCCACCTCCCTTTCCATTCGTTCTCTGCACAGGATCCTCATGACCTGAGAATGTGAACGGTCATCCCTGGGGAAGACCTCAGTGCAGCCGCTTCTAGACCAGAGCCGCCACGATGGCCCTCGTCCCCTGCAGGCCGTGGCCATGACCTTGTGCTCTGGCGGCTTTGCACACCTGGCCCTCTGCTCCAGCCTCCGGCCTTCCCTTAGGTCCTCAGAGGAGCCCCGGGCCTTGCCCATCCTTCTCTGCCTGGCAGTGCTTCTGTTTCTCTCTCCCTTACCTCTTCCAGGGTCACGGCTTCCTGGGAACCCTTCCCCGACTCCCACTTCCGTTTACCTTTTCGTCCTACCTCCTACCAAGTTGGTGCTTTTCCTTTTTCTCTCTGTCCCTTTGCCTTTCTCCCCTTTCTCTCCTCCCTCCGTGCTCATCCTCATCCTCCCTCCCTCCCCCTCCTCCATTCTGATGAAGGTCTGCCTTTTCAATCAGCCACAGACACCACGAGGACAGTGCGTGGATCAGATGTACGTCCCCAGGGGATTCTGGGATGACAGTGGCTTCACTGGACTCCATGTCCTCTGCACTTCCCGCTCAGGTCAAACAGACCTTCCTTCCCAAGTCAGGCAGACCTCAGGACTGGGACCCGGGACCCAGGTGAGGGTGTGAGGGACACAGCTGTCGTACTTTCTTGCTTTGGGTTGGACAAGAGCTTTGTGGCCACCGCATGTGGCAGACCCCTGTGAGAAGGGTCC